ATATAAATGAAATTATAAATTGGTAATCTAGGAGAAGTAATTATTTATTTATTTTTTTATTGATATTATTTAAATTTATATTTATTAATAATAAAGTTTTTAAAATCTTCACTTTAATCATATTAGATTCTTGATATTACTCTAAGTTAAATTTAATTTATTAATATTATTTTTATAAATTTTTTTTATATTTAATAACTTTCAAGATATATACCATATTTATTTTTGCATATATAATTAATCAATTTTTTTTGTTGTGTTTTTTCTTCATTTTTTCCTTCTAAATAACTAATTAATTAATTATCATTTTTTTCTTCAATATTTATTTAAAAAACTGTAATTAAATTGGGAATATAAAAGAATAGAAATACTAGCACATGTAAATGCACTCAGAATACAACTTAAAATTTAATTTGTATTATTTATATAAAGTAGTTTCTCATATATTAAGGACATATTCAGATAAAAACTTTTGATCCAATTTAGTCTTAACCTATTTATTAAAAATTACTTTTAATATGTATAAATGCGCATATTTGGTGCAAATAACCTATATAAATATCTAAATGACATGTATTCTAAATAAATTATAGGATTTGAGGATAGTTACAGATAGATATTATAAATATAGACTAAAGTAGAATAATCTACTAAATTAAAATTATTTTTTTTAAATTTAAGTATTTTAATTAATTACTGACTTACTTACTAGAATTTTTCTAGATATGACTATCTATAACTAATTCTTATTTTCAAATATAAGCAAATTAATGTATAATAATTAAAATTAATTAAATATCCATAAATCACTTTTCAATATTTTTGAGAAAAAAAATAAATGATATAATAGATTAAATATTACGAAGAAATAGAAGAAGTAATTATTTATTTTTTTATTAATATTCTTTAAATTTATTTTTTTTAATAAAAAAGTTTTTAAGCTCTTCACTTTAATCTCATGAAGGTCTCGACCTCTATTTTAAGTATATTTTATTTATCAATTTTATTTATAAAAATTTTTTTTAAATTTGATTTTCAAGTTATGCACAATATTTTTTTGAAAAAAAAATCCAAATAATTATTCAATTAATTTAACTTAATTTTCACTTTCAATTTTTAATTTTATTAATAACTAATTCTCTTCTTAAAAATTTTTTTTTCTTTTTAACTAACAAATGAATTATATTTTTCTAAATATTTAAAAAGTGAGAACTAATTAATTGATGAAGAACATGTATCAAAGTTAGGTTCTGCTTTAGCAAATTGCACTAATCTCTCTAATTTGTCACTTAGTATTGAGTAAAAATAGTTTAATAGTTTTTGATTGTGATATTTTTAAGATAAAAATGAATTTAAAACTAAAAAAAATTAACTCTTTTAATTTACTTATTAGCTTTTATTTTGATTAATTTTATTTTTTATTTTAATTTTTATTTCTTTTTTAATTTAACTAATTAATTTTATCATTTTCATTTTTATTTTATTATTAATGAATTAATTAATGGATTTCTTATTATTTCATCCTTTTTTTCTTTAATTAACTATTAATTATAATTTTTTGTTGTTGAATATTTAATAAGGACGATGACTTTAGTGATAAAATTGCATCTTACATAGGCTCTGGTTTGGGAAGGTGCCCTAATCTCTAAAATTTGACACTTGATCTAATGTAAAAACAGTTTATTTTGTTTTGGATTGTAATATTTTTTAATATAAAAATGAACTTAAAAAAACATAGCTAATTCTTTTAATTTATTTATTTTCTTACTTTTTATTTGATTAATTTTTGATTTATCTTTATTATTAATTTGTATTCTTTATTAATTTAACTATTTTTTATCATTTTAATTAATTATTTTATAATTTTTATATCATGTTTTTTTTTTATAAAGTGGCAATTAAATAGGTGTTTAAGGCGCTTTAGGCTTAAGTTCTGGTTTAGGAAAGTGCATTAAACTTTAAAATTTGGAACTTTGTCTTGAGTAAAAACAGTTTATTTTTTTTGAATTGTAATATTTTTGAATATAAAAATGAATTTAAAACAATATAGTAAACTCTTTTAAATTATTTATGAGCTTTTCATTTGTTTTATTTTTATTTTTTTTTAATTTAATTTAACTTATTTATTTTTTAATTTAGGACTTTTCTTTTCTTTTATTATTACTTCATTACTTATTATTTCATATTCTTTTTTCATTCATTCTTTCTATATAAATAATTTACTTTTTTTTAAATATTTAAAAAGTAGCAATTTTATTGGGAATGAAGGTTCATGTGCATTAGCCTCTGCTTTAGCAAAATGCACTAAACTTTAAAATTTGGAACTTTGTCTTGAGTAAAAACAGTTTATTTTTTTTGAATTGTGATATTTTTGAATATTAAAATGAATTTAAAACAATATAATTAACCCATTTAATTTATTTATTTATGAACTTATCATTTGATTTATTTTTATTTTTCTAATTTATATTTATTTCTTTGTTAATTTAATTTAATTTATTTATCTTTTCAGTTGGGACTTTTGTTTTATTATTACTTCACTAATTTTTTTCATATTCTTTCTTCATTTTTTCTTTTTTCAAACTAAATAATTTATTTTATTTTTTTTAAATATTTAAAAAGTAACAATCAAATTGATCATGAACCAGTATCAGTCTTAGGCTCTGCTTTAGTAGAAAGCACTTAACTCTCAAATTTGACACTTGAGCTTCGGTAAATAAGTT